ATTCAGGCTGCGACCAGAGTCACGGAACGAATTAAGTTCGTAACCCGAGGTACCACTGTATTCTTTTATTTTTTTAGTTTGTATTAGTTCTTATCTTTTTAATTGTAATGTTTAATAAAATTACTATTGAAAAAACAAATTCAGGTTACTGATTCTAAATGTTTTGACATCTGGCAACTTAGAGGGAGAACTCACTTTCTGGTGAGGAAGAACCATCCTGTCTACATGCTAATAACCTGCAAAATACTGACTTCTTGTATTGATTTCAAAGTTGTCCCCTAATAATAACCAAGATTAATTTGGTAAACTCACGTTCAGCTTCCCTAGAGGTTCATTCAGTGCTACTTTATTAATCTGAAGGTGGTTTTTTATTCAATTTCCTGAGAGGCTTTGGAGGAAATTAGCAGCCTCGGCTATTGACAGCCTCTTCTTCCAGCTGATGACGCTATACAAAAACGTATTTGTATATGTCAAATGCTTGAAAACTGGTGACCTGGCAGATCCAATTACCACTCAGGAATCAAGAGTATTGCATTCTGGTAGCAATGCTTTTGTGCTAATCATTCAGGATCTTGCTAAACATGATTTCTATCCTAAAACCTTGGTATGCAAACTAATTTTCATCCTTACTCTGAATACTCTGAAGAAATTGTCATCTTATGTGTCCTAGATGGGTCTATGCTAGGCTTACATACATTGACTAACTATTCTATAAGCATATGTCTAGTCTAAAGAAATGTCTATGAAAGTTGCAACATTTGCACCATAGCAGTCACAGTCAGAAGATACTGAGTCTAGATATTGACTAGGTTAGTCCACAATTCCCAGATTGGCTTATCACGTTCAACAAGCCCTTTTTTCACTTTCTATAATTGTAATTATTATTAGCTTTTTATTTTCTCTCTCTTTGCCTTTTATATCCATTTTTAAACCTATTCCTCTTTACTTCATCTGATTTATCTAAGTTCCTGTTGCTCTTTTGGTCTCTGATTGTAAAAGGAAGAGAGGGCGGGATGGAGGGAAGGAAGGAAGGAAGGAAGGAAGGAAGGAAGGAAGGAAGGAAGGAAGGAAGGAAGGAAGGAAGGAAGGAAGGAAGGAAGGAAGGAAGGAAGGAAGGAAGGAAGGAAGGAAGGAAGGAAGGAAGGAAGGAAGGAAGGAAAATTAAACGCACAGGTGACAACATAGAACTCCTTGGAGAATGTAGCTCAAGTATACAGTACCTTCCAATACTAGATGTTTTAGTAGCCTATAATAATTACTTATGAATGAGTGGCAAGCTCTGTAGGGATCCAGCCCTGGGCTACCATGGCATGCATGCTTAGTCCTGGATTGCTAGCCAGGCAGGATAGGGGGAAAGGCCACGAGCACAGTTTTGCAGGGATCCCATCCTGGTGCCTGTACACTTTGAAATTTAATTACTGAGAGTGAGTGGTGTATTTATTCCTTGCTCAATCCTAGCCTCAACAAAATAATTAGCTTTGTTGTTGGGTGGAAGATCCTAATATCATTTTGGGACATCAAGCTACTGCAAATTTTGGGAGCTGCTGGAACAAGGACCTGGAACACTGCGCACATGAACATCAATGGAAAATTATTTGGGCATTTATTTGTCAGATTTCTATATATTTAAAATTATCATTAATTCAACAAAAATATTATATCATGTATATTGGACACTTTTCAGCTTTTCAAGAAGAAATGAATGACTTCAGCTATTTCTTAAAAATGCACTGCTCAAAAGACAGCTTGAGTGCATGTGAGGTAAGCTTTTGCTACTGTGGCTCCCTTTTGGACCAACATTATTTCACACATTAAATATCTTCTTGATGTCCCACTGGTTTTTAAATATGCGTATGGTCTTCTGAATTATATCCCAGTATAAGTGGTTTGGAAGCTGACAGGAGTACAATGGAAATGGATACTGCATACTGTTATGATAGGATACTTGATCTTACAAGATTGGAAGAACACATGTAATATTAATGATACAGTAGTCTGAAAGTCTTACCTTTCTACATTTCAATAAGTAATTTATTGCCAGGAATTCATACTGGAGGACTGCTTAAACCAAGGATATTCAAAATGTTCTCCACTGACCACGAGTGGTTTGCAGAGAGCCACCCAATGGTTAACTGCAGTCTTCCCGTGTTAATGGGACAGAGATTGTTCAGCACTGGAGCTCCATGTTCTGCAATTACTGATAGCTTGCAAAAAACTGCTCGGCACCTTAATCCTGTCTTCCTATGGTGCCAACACTCAGCTGCTTGCTAGCTCAGCCTTGCACTCCAGTGGGTATCAACACTTAGCTGGCAAATGTTTGCTTCGCTGGAAGGTCCCCACATTTTCTAATACATCATTTAAATCATTTGGATTTAATGTTTTAAATCCAATTTATATACCAATTTATAATGTTTTATTTTTTCCTTCTGTTAAATTCATTGTCTTCAAGATTTATAATTATGTATTATAGCATTTTCATTTGTATAAGAGAAAAATTTATATGGATGGATTTTCTTTTCCATTTTTGCATGTAGATATAAATAGATTATAATGCCTGTAAAGCTAGCTTAATTTTTTTCAGGAAATGAATAAGGGTGTGTTTACTACAAATTCACAAGGGCAAATGGTGTAAAAATTACCATGCAAACACTTAACCTGGAATTCTTATGCTTCAGCTTCTTCCCCAAGCAACCTCCAGAATAAATTGTAAAGGTGTCTGGAAAGCGTGGGGGAGAGGGGAGGCAGGGAAATTGCTCCATTGTGTTCCAACTGGAGAAACTGTATCAGGTAACAGAAGTATATCCATGGATTATACCCAAGTTGTGTGAATTAAAACTCTTGTGGATAAAAATATACCAACAGTCTTGTTCACTGAGAAGTAAATATGATAAGTCTCTTACAGGACTTAAACACATTTAACAACTACCAGGGCAAAATTTACTATCATTGTATTTCAGTCTTTTGCTCTCAGCAGGAGTACAAGTGTCTCCTGAAATAATTCTTTATCACTGGGGCTTTTCATTTACATCTAGCATTCAGAAACAAAGAATGTATCAGAAACAATTTACTCTTCCTAACTGAAATAATTAAGTTCATTTGCTCATGTATGCTTAATTATTAAGTTATTCTTTCTTGAACTGTATCTAAATCATTTCAATCAATGACATAACCGAATATGTTTTCAGCAAAGGAATAGTGCTTCAATTGTCTGCTCTTACACACCTTGACAACAGATATAGAAATTTAAAGAGAATATTTTGAATTCTTACCTCTTCATATATGAACTGTAAAGTCAATGCAGATTTTCCTACTCCTCCAATGCCTACCATAACCACTTTATGAAAATCCATAGAATTTTCACCATTGAGATAGTTCAGATTATCTACATCCATTTTTGAAGTGCAGATATTTCACACAAAGGAAGAACCTGAAACAAGAATGTTTTATTGCATTAATAAGGGTTTAACATATTCATAGCAAGTTTATTGCAATGCAACAATTCAAACAACTAGGCAGCCACGGGATGGGAAAAAACACATATACACCTTTCTCCATTCCTTGTACTTTCCAACGTAATTAATACAAAAATGAAGTGCTGAATTTGCAAATAGAAACACGTTTCAGAGCAGGAATTATTTCTGTTTAGGAGAAGAATATTCACCTATCATAGCTAGTGTGCTGAATCATGAAATTTAGTAAGATTTACCAGAAACAACCTCTAATGCAGACATGAAGCCTGACCCTTGCTAATCACAAACATTCTCAGGTCTATAAATACCATGACAAAAAATGTGATACAACTCTCAAGGTCAAGGATGTTTTCAGTGCAATAGGGCAGATTGATTCTTTGTCCCTTTAAGATAATAGTACAGTATATCAATAAATTTAAATATTATCTGTGACAGCCTTTGATCCTAAGACCCCTACATCATGTTGGATACATGACAGGATGAGTTACCCTGATGGACTTGGGATGATGCAATGACCTTGAGGTTAAAGGGTTTTTTTTTTTCCAGGCTGAGTGTCATGTAACACTGTGTAATGGTATGTGGGAATGGACTTGAGAGACAGGAGGAAGAGCCACAGTCTAGACAATGGTCCGATAAACAAAATTTAAATCTGAAGGAGGAACGGTACTAAAAGCGTCTCAGAAGGGACCCTCCCTAGTTTTTGGGAGAGTAAAAGTGAAGGAAGGAAGGAATATTTTCAGATTTGCAAGATTCTATTAATGTAACCTTACAATAAAGATACAGCTAGTACACTTGGTTGTACTTCTTGTCTGGACTAGCTTGCAAGGCTGACACACTGAGAAGTTTTGCGTCTCATTAAAGCACCTACCTTATAGATATAAACATATAAAAAGACTGAAGCATTAAATAATAGATGAAAAGGTTGTTGGGCACTCCTAAGATTATTTTTGTATCGCTTGAACTGATTATCGTGTCTGCCAAGAAGAAGGAATCTGTATTTGGGGATCAAGCAAGAGCAAGCAGGACCCAAGAGAGAGATCTGCTGGTAGAAAGCACAGCAGTTTTCAGAAAACAGACTAGATATCAACAAGAACAACTTGACAAAGGTATTGGAATACAAGAAGCCCAGAAGTGAAAGCCCAGAAAGAAGCTGCATGGGAGGGAGGGAGGGTCAGGCCTACAAGGTAGACCAAACTAAAAAACCAATGCCATATAGGTCAGCACTACTTTTATCGTAACAGCAAATCAGGTGGTCCTCACTTAACAACCACTCATTCAGTGACCTTTCAAACTTATGACAGTGCTAAATGAGTGGTATTTACGACCGGTCCTCAGAGTTCTGGCTGTTGCAGCGTCCCCACGGTCACATAATCGCCATTTGTGACCTTCTTTGCTGGCTTCCAATAAACAAAGCCAATGGGGAAGCCAGCAGGAGGTCACAAATGGCGACCATATGATATTGCACTTAACGACCCACAGTGATTCACTTAACGAGAACAACCAGGATTCTGGAATTGCCATTGCTAAGCAGCGTGGTCACGTGTAGTAAAAGAATCTTGTCAGTCTGAATGTGCTTCCCTCTCCCTCCCTTAATCTTTGTGTGAACAAGGGAGGGGCTTGTCTGAAACGCTTTCTCAAATCAGTTTCTTGGATGGAGTTTAAGTCCTGCTTATCTGAACACTGCCTTGGTAATGGCTCTTCCTCCTCCCCTTCAAGGCCCTATGTCCTATGCTTTCTACAGGGAGGGAATGAAACAAGTAAAACACTGCAAAAAGCTCTGCTTAAAATTGTCAGAATCGAACTACGTGTGTATGGTTTATTAAGCTACGGGCTTAGAGTCAGGTGGCATACACATTTTATAATTATTTTATTATTATTTATTATCGCACAGTCAGCCAGACTGGATTTGGCATTTTTATCCACCTGTCAAGTCCTTCCCAAGTATCTGGGGTAGGCAGATGTTATTTGATGTTGTTAAATGTTATTTTATGTTAAATGTTAAATTCAATTTAAATTTAAATAAATTTAAAATAAATAAATTAAATAAATTTTTAAAAATTTAAATTTAAATAAAATGTTATTTTATGTTGAATGTTAAACATTAAATGTTATTAGATATTATTGATGGTGTTAAAGGTAGCATTGCAGGATATAGGCTGTTCCAAGTAAAGCTGCCTTTTGTAATTGACTGATGGTGATTTTGTCAATGCCGGTGGTCTTCAAGTGTTGCTCTAAATGTTTTGGGATTGCACCTAAGGCACCTATAATTATTCGTACTATCTGTGCTTTCTTTTGCCATAGTCATTCTACTTCTATTTACAGGTCTTTATATTTTGTGATTTTCTCTAGTTCTTCCTCTTCTCTTCTGCTTTCTCCAGGTACTGCAATGTCCACTATCCAGACTCTTTTGTCTTTCTTATCAACAATTGTTAAGTCTGGGGTGTTATGTGGCAGGTTTTTTTTATTACTATTATTATTATTATTATTATTATTATTATTATTATTATTATTATTAT